TCAAAGTTTAATGTAGTAAACGCTGGGACAGGTAAAAGAGCGACTGATCTGGTTTCAGTGGAGTGTGTCATAGATCGATAGCACGAGAAGTGATCAACCCAGAACGATACAAACGTTAAATCTGCAACTCCGTAGCGGCGAGTGGTGAGTGGGCGTTCGAAGACAAACGGGGAGGACAATGGACCCAATTGTGTGTAACTGACTAAATTGAGTTTCGTGCATAAAAATAGTCTGATGGATGGTCAATCCAATAAATATCACCTCTTTTACAACTATTACATAAATAAATTAAATCACAAGTCGGTTTCTTTTGGTCGTTTATGGTTATGCTGAATTACTGAAACAAGTTTCAGAAAGAATGCTTATTGAAAATCACAAATAAAATCCGTTAAATTCCGTCACGGCACCTGTTCCAACTGACACCAGTACCCCTGATCGAGCTGTCAACTAGCGTTTTTATGTACAGGATCTTTCACCAAATGTGCATATTTCTTTTTAATAGTTTAAAATTACGTATGCACAGTATACCTTTCACCCGTAGTCAATCGCTTATTTACCTTTTAACCATTTCAGTGTATTTACACATTTATTAAGATCCTTTTCGGTCCGTCCCACAGTTTGTACCAATGTCAAACACAGCCATGTGAGAGAGTTGAATTTGATTAAATCCGTAGAAATATAGCTCACAAGTAAATGCTTTGGCCCCCGCAACCCGAGGGTTATCGGTTCAAGTCCGTCAACAACTACGCAAAATAGAAGTATGCGCTACTAATGTGTTTCATCAGCGATGACACCGCTATCCAGTGTTCTTTGTTGGCTTTCACGAACAATTTGTGGACAAAAAGCAACAGCAAACATTTGGGTCAAAAATGAGCTCTCAAGGATTGAGACCCACAAAAGAAAAGCGTTAAGAAAACTCATATAACTGTGAATTCGTGCGGCAAGACTACTGTTATATTTAAATTGGTTCAGTTGATTTTTCGGTTGTTCCACGCAATCCAGCGCAAGTTATTCAAACATAGTGTTGTAATGAAGGGAATATCTGAGGAAAAGTAAGGCGTTTCAATAATTGTTGAATGTTGTCTCTTCTATCTATTTGGGTGAACCTCGAACATTGAGGAAAAGGTGACCTTTTCGGACGTGAAACTCTAAGCAATACCAAATTAGAAAATGAAAAGTTTTCTGGACGATTTGTAGAGAAAGTCTTTCCTCAAAAACGCTTCGAGGATACGGCAGATTCAGTCTACAGGGTCATCTTCAAACCCTGATTTTGAAGCCTTTAAAGACAATTTTCAGTGTATTTTGAATATTCGATACCACTACGTTTTTCGTTTAGAACAAGTTCCATTAATTTCTCAGTTTGCCTATTCCACCAGAACATACCTTTGAGATTCGATTTTTGCGACTGTGATCGCATTGTGCATGAGAAGCATCCCCAATCTCCTAATCAATCAAGCAACAACTTATGATGGTCCACGGTCTCGGCTGATGTGTTCAAAATATGCCAGCCTAGAGCAGTCCATACAAAGTGTGTTAGAAAGTGTTGTTTGAATTGATCGTTTGTTTTATTGCATCAATGATGTTTTTACGATTGGACCGTATAAGACTTTTGTTTTGCAGACCGGACAATCTGATTGGTTCAAGCGTATATAAACGCCTGTGATTCCCTTCCCAAATGTGATTTATGTCCGGTGCACTTAAAAAATATATCGAGAGCACTTCCTAAAGTAAGAACTTTTTTTATGTCTGATCCTATCCCTCAAAAGTATTTCCTAGATAACAAGGAATCTGTCTTGCTTAACAGATCTGCCAATAATTGACGTTAAACAGTTCATGAAGAACAACCTCAATCCATCGAAGAAAACACTTCCAATAGTCAGTCTGCAAAGAGAACCCGATGGTTCGCGAAATTTGCTTCTCAAGGCTCTAGTCCACAAGGTGATTGAACGACAAGCGGATGAATTGAATCATTCGTATGAGTCCGTTCAATGAGCAGTAAAATGACATCTCCCTGGAGGAGGATAAGACAGTAATTTATTATTAGGACCTGTAGTGAGCTTTCACCGTCGTTTCCAGTCACCAGTAGATTATAACATGGTTGCCCAGTTTCTCTGTCTCTCTACAGCTTCGGGATGGAATAACAAAAGATACACGTGCGAACACGTGTGTAAACTGATACAATCATGTCCAATGAAGAAACTTANCGAGCCACTGAAACTAGGTGATGGGCAACTGAGTTCAGTGATTACGGTTTGGTTATCGGCTAAGGTCCATTGAGAAGGAAAAAAGTTGATAATACGTTGTGAAAGTAGACTGGTTAAAACAAGATTTCCTAGAAAAAAAATGTTATTCGACGTAATTAACTCTGACTTTGAGCTTCGTCCTGAAAACAGAGTCGATACTTAGCGTATTGTTCAACTCGGGGACAATGCACAAGCGAGGCCAGAAAGATTGACTCACCTGACGACTGAGGTTCCTCAGTATGGGATGTGCCTTGCACCTTAAAATTCAAAGTGTNTGTTGATACAAAATTGATCGGAGCCTGTGCTTGGACTCTTGTTGGGTAACTGATACCCTGTGATATCTCTCAAAACGCAATTAAAGCAAGGTTGCTACATTTGCTACTATCCAACATCTCTAAAGCCGTTGCGATATATCCTTTCAACTGAAAGGGCTTGTGCATCGTGCAACGGGAAGTGTTTTGTTACTCTATGATTGCGAAACATGTTCTATCTAGGAAGATCCAGACCAACAACAGTCTAGTCAAGGTAACCGTTCTCTGCCTTACATCGTCTTATAAGATTGGAGCATTCCGTGAGTAATTTTGAGGGGAGAAGGCGTGTGCCAGGGAATGACCGTCTTCCGTCAGGCAAAACCATTTTACTGCCCCGTTCGAGATGGCTGAGTCCATCCTACGAAGGTCTGTGCAATGTCTTCCCTACTATGCGTTATTTGGAAATTTGGGGCTTATCGCGTTGGGTTGAAGAAACTCCGTTCAAAAACGGTATCACTGGGCCTTCCCGAGTCGTTGATGGAGGCCTCAAAGATTCAAATGGTCGATGACGGGAGACACTATGGTAGTATGACACTGAACCGAATTCAGTGACCTTAGCGTATTTTTACTTGTTTTGGATCCAAAAAATGAAGAAAGACGAAACATTTCAAAGTTGGGAACATTAGATAAAAAGGTTCTAATAAACGCTACCCAAAACCGATCGGTTTACGTTCTGTTGCATTTATCCTTTTCAGCCTATAGTCACTTTAGCTGTGTATCTGTAAAGATGAAATTATCATTGTTGGATCCGATTTTCGGCACACACACCGCTATTCAGTTGTTTCTAATTTCAGTATTTGTGTAAATTATATCGGGACAAATCAGACAAAAAATAACAATCTTGTCTTCAGTAGTGTTGTTCGCTTTATTTCCACTGGATGCATTCACATCATTCCTCGTCAAGATAGATCGCATCAACGACATTCATCTGTCGTTACAATGTAGAGAAACACAGAAACAATTCGAAACAGACAAGCATTTGAAGACTTTCAAAAATTCACTACAGACTCCTGGAACAGTTTCACTGAACTGATTGAAAATGCATTCCAGAGTGTCTACTCATGCTGTGAAACTGGACACACAAATGCGCTGTCCCACCCAGATGAGTAAACTAAATGGACAAGCATGAAAATGTTTTTGTTCATTCTTGAAAATTCAAATGGGGTTTCTTGCGTCTTTCAGTCCGTGTTCAGTAGGATAGCCACTCCTTGGAGAATCCAGTGAGACGGATGTTCCGTGGTGGGCAAATCCAATGCGCACACAAATCCCTCGCCCATGGCGTTCCGTCTGAGACTTGTTATGTAAACTGGGACTGGAACAGTGCCAGTGAGCTTCAGTCGATGTTTTTCAATTGGGGTAAGACGTACAATTGGCATTTCTTGTAATAACACCCGCGGGTTTTGACGTACCAGGCATCCACTCTGAAAGATGGTTGGACCAGCGTGTACAAACGTACAAATAAGACCATGAAAAACTTGTTTATTGTTATTTAAATACTCATTATTATTATTATTATTAGCGGGAAGAATTCGATGCTTCTCAGTACTCATTTATAGCATTTATACTATCAATTTATTAAAACCCAGTTTTAAAGTTATTGCAAATAAGACACCACAAGGCCGAAGAGAGTTCCTAGTCTATGTAACAAGCGAATGTGATAATCTAGGTAGCTGCACGATAAAAATATAGGATCCCTTCATCTCCCCTTAGTTTTCCTTTTCTTTCTAACAAAACTATTAATTTTCTGTGTGAATGTATCAATTGATAAACCCAAGAGGACCAGAATTAGGCATATAATGCGTATGAGAGCATGTAAGACTTGCTAATTGTCAAACCTTTTCCTAGGACCTTAAGTCATATTGATGAAACTTTACAGTGTCTACATATAATTTCATCTGCACGAAGCCGCATGAAAGGAAACTATCAACTTTCGAGAGGGGTCGGATATTTGCATTCACCGGTTTGCAATGGGCGGCAAGTAACCCAATGAGATCAGTGGTCGTTCGGGGAACCTTCTCACACGTTGGAAAACCTTCCACCACTATCGGTCACCAGATTATATTATGACGTCATGTTCTACCAAGATGATGCCCATACACCACAAAATGCTGGGTGCTGTTCGGTGGTATAACGCCGTTGCAACTTGCCATTCAGTTTAATTGTGGAACTTTTGGTTCATGGTATTTGTATTTTTCTTCTCTTCCAGAAAACCTCCTGTGTGTCGACGGTTCAAACCCACGCCGAGACTCGGTCCACATTCGGCTGTCTCGCTAATCCGTCCAGGGGGGGGGAAGGGGTTAATACTTGCTTGCTGTATGTGCAACTATACAAATATTTAGCCATCAACGGATGAAACAATTACCACCTTAAGCGAACATAGACTAATAATGACACTCACATGTCTCATGAAAAGAGTACCGAGAGGGTGTATCGAGATTGTTGATAGAATGGTGGTTGTGTAAGATTTTAAGTAGTAAGTAGAGCAAGACAGCTGAGTAGGGTCCGATACTGTTTATTACATTTTCTACTTTCATTAGCACGTAATATGATACAATCCATCCGGTGGATCTGAGCAGAATTGGTTTTGGTAAATAATACCGAAGCGGAAATACTATGAGAGGACGGTGAGACCCATCTCAGTAAAATGCTACACACACAGTGATATATTTTGTGTTCACTCACCTCAACACTCCAAGCTGAGCCTTCCAAATACAATCCGCTCACGTGACAACCCAATTCTGGTGCCATTAGCACAGTGTGCACCTCCTCTGGGACAATTTCAGTAACCGAGGTTTGTAGGGCACATTTGTCCAACGCCCAACCGTGTTTACGACATGCTTTTTGTATCAGAGCAGTCAAGTAAGATTGGGGTAAATGCAAACCGGATAACCACATGACAGCAGGTTCACTTTTTCCTGTAGCCATCTGACAGTTTGAATGAAAATAAGACGAAAAAAGAGGGATGGAATATGATAAAAATTTTAAGAAATATCCATAAAGCGTGCTATAATGTTTATCGTAATTAGACATAGTTACACAGTCCGAGTTATCATCATCCGAAATCATCGTGAAATAAAATGATCAGTACATGAAAATAGAATTAATGTTTGCCTTCATTAGCCTTCACAAGCATACCGATCTGTCTTGAACTGCAAGAACTTCCTCAATGAAATACACAGATGTCTTTGCCATAGCGAATCGTTGCAGAGGCGGCATCAAAGTAACGATGAGTTGAAAGAACACAACAGAATCAGAGCATAGCTGTAACGTCGAAGCAGAAGACGATTTGATACAGGTACGAAATGAAATGGTCCAGCCGTCTCCGTCTTGGGGGGTTTGATCACACGGTACTATAACAAAACATTGTTATTTGTTTGCTGCACGCGAGTAACACCATATCAACTTGAGACAATGACTTGCCAAGGTCACCTGACGCTGACCGTACCAGTAAGGTTAACCCTTAAATACAGCTGACGATTGTACAAGAAGGTTTAGCGCAAATTGTTCAGTTGACGTTTGTTGTGACACACGCTATATTCAACAAAGAACAATTATTGTGAAGAAATCTCCCAGTTTCATACAACTGTTTCTATTTGTCCACTATCGCCCCCACAACCCGAGCGCAGTTGACTTTGAACCTTGGACGAATTCGGGCATTCAAACAGTACGTCGATGATAAAATTACAAAGCCCTTTAAGATGAATTGAGACTTGAATTATACAAGAAATCGTTATGTGCGTGTTCGATGACCTATATATAGGTATGTCGATTGCATCTCCACAACAAGAATAAGCGGACTGCCTGACAGAAAATTGTTCAGCCCAAAAATCTGTACACAAACACAAATGGTAGCAGACTTACCCCGGCTTGGTGAAAACCTTTCCTTTCGCCTAAATTCCTACACGCGCACACACACATCTATCTATCCGAAAACTACGCTCCTTCACCCAGGCCCTTCTACACCCCCAACTTATATCATCTAACCTTCCCCGCCTCGTCCGGCTTACAATTTCACCAGTCCTAATAACAACCTTTTGTTGGATGTCAAACATGTTTTTTGCGTAATCTTCACGTTGCACCAATGAAAGCGTTTCGGGAATTAAATACTTCATCATATCACGTACACCTCACTGCGTCTGTTTTCAATTAACCCATCCGTGGACAGTTTGGTCATGGTCCATAAAAAGCGATTGAAAAGTGCGCGTACGAGACATATTGCAGTCTCATGTTGGACTTTTGCTATCTGCATATGGCAATCATTGTTTACAAAGCCAAAACCACGGAATTCCCCATGACTTACCCACTNAACCAGGCGACGCCAACTGGCGGGCAGCATTCCGTTCGATAAACAACGAGATATGTCGTCCAACTCCTCGGACATGCCAATTTTGCCGACAAGCGCTTTTTTCAGATCTTTCAGTGAGTTGTTGATTTTTCCCAAGATCAGATTGAATCTGAGCACAGAAACGGACCGAAGAAGAACAAAGTACCCCTGAGTTCGTATTCCAGTTTCAGTGAACTCAATAACTAGTCGTCACTTTCGGATTTAAAAGGAAACGACAAAAGTGATGTTAATTGATGAAAAATCAATGGCTTTACTGCGGTTTCAGGAAATGACCGATTAACGAACCTGTCCAGTTCTTGCATCAACACCACAATAGTTGGTGAGACTTCTGTTCCCATGTGCTTTTTACGCAGTCCTTCCACGTCAAATAATGCAGGCAAACGATTCAGCAAACTGTCTGCCA